CTCCCCGTGGTTCTCCTCCGTGATGCTGACGAAGTCCACCAGCCTGCTCGTCTGCGCCGACGAGCTCACTGCGAACACGTCGCCCCGCTGCTCCATCCACTTGAACTCCTGGGCTACGTACCTCCACTTCGCGACTCCCCCTCGCATCTGGGGCTCCCAGCGCGCCCTGATCTTATTCAGGTGCCCGCTCTCGGTCCTCGGGATGTCCTTGTGCGCGTGGTAGTGCGCCAGCACCTCCAACGCCTCCCGCTTGCCCTTGAGCTCCACGGCGGGTTCCATCCCGCTCGTGCTCACGTGGCCGCCCTCGACCATCGAGTCCAGGATGCTGTAGTCGATCGGGTCGTCCATGCTGATCGCCTCCACGGGCCTGGCCCTCTTTCCTGGTGGGCCTGGGTCCGCGAGCCAGCTGTCGTCGTCGCGCGCCCTTCGCGCCCCCCTCGGTGCATCATCCACGTTCATCGGATCAGGTTGTGCTCCCGCTGCCGCCGGGGCCGCAGGTGCTCCAGCCTCTGGTGCAGGAGCTGCTGCTGCTGCTGCTGCTGCTCCTTCGCCGCCCCCCGCTCGCGCCCCCTGCGCGGGCGCCCCTGGTGGGCCCTCCGCAGGGCCAGCTGCTGCCCCTGCTGCGGCCTCAGCCTCTGCCTTCGCTCGCTGCTCCGCTGCCGTCAATACCACCGTCGGCGCTGGCCGCTGGGGTCGCGGTAGCAGCCCCATCGGCTTCGCACTCCTGGGCTCCCAAGGTAGCGCCTTCGCCGCCTTCATCAGCTCGGCGTCTGCCCTCAGCGCTGGCCCCGGCCTCCTGCGCGTCCGCGCTCGATGCCAGCCCGAGGGAGTGAGGAACGCGCGGTCGTCGCTCTCCTTGTGCTTCCCCACCCAGATGCCCTTCACGCAGCTCGACTCGCCCTTGTGCTTCAGGGACGTCGCGGCGATCTGCCTCGCGTGGGAGATCGGGATCTTGAACAGCGCCGTCTGGCCGAAGGGTAGAATCTCACCGTTGTAGGTCGCCCCGTTGGCCGCCTGATGCGAGGTCCTCTTGTCCGCGCGCGTCCTGTAGGTCGACGTTGCCCAGCTCACATAGCGCGTCATCCAGCACCAGATCGGGTCGTCCGCCGCGATCTTCATGCCGCATCGCTTCTCGAGGTCGAACTTGTAGGTCCTCGTCTTCGCCTGGAACCAGCGGATGGGCGCCTCGATCGCGCCCGTGCTCGCGCTGTCCTTCAGGTTCCCCTGTTGCAGCTCCAACTTGATGGAGCTCTTGATATTATTGCGCACCTCCTCGCATAAGTTCGCGATCGTCGGCTCGCCGTCGCTCTTCAAGTCCGCCTTCGTGAGGTGCATGCTCTCCATGAACCCGCGCGCGCTGAGCACCAGGTACTCCGTGACACTCTTCGTCGGCACTGACACCGGGTTGAACATCAGCGTGTCCCTATCGGCCATCACGAGCGTCGTTGCGAAGATTTCCGCTGGTGGAGGTTCCTCATCACCAATCTCGGCCCACTCGCCGTTGGTCTTCAAGTAGCAGAAGTCGACGGTGACCTGCGCCTTTTCCCGCGTCCTTCTGGTCGAAGGTCAGCATATTGTGCGGCTTGGTCGTCTCGTTGCCTCTGACACGCGCCTCGCACCATTCATCTCGCGTGAGGTGCAGCAGCTCGTGCGCCGCTCGCTCCTCAGGTGTGGGCCCCGCATGTCCTGCGACCATCCGCGGGGCGATGCTCGGCTGCCCTGCCACGGCAGCCTCATGCTTCCTCTCAAGCTCCTTCATCTTCATGTGCTGCTCCCTGATTTTCCTCTCCGCGCCGCTGAGTCGTGTCCACAACTCGTCTTTCCTGCCGTAGATCGGCTGCCCGAGCTCGCGCAGCCTGGCCCGAATGTCGTCGACGCGGCTGTCGGGGTGCAGCACCACCTCCACGCCGTCGCGCTGCAGCACAAGGCGAAGAGCCAACCGCTCCCCCGCAGCTGCAGCCTCGCCAGCCTCGCGCGCGCCAGCTGGGGCCGCGGGTGCTGGACCGCTGGGCGCGCCCCCCAGCCCGCTGCTCGCGCCACCTGTCGTCGGTGCGGCCTCTTGAACGTCTTGGCGTTGAACCCCAGCGTGTCGTTCCGCCTCGCGATGGGGGGATGCCCTTCGTGAGATCGCCACCTGGGTACATCGTCGTCCCACTCTTGGAGTTCAGCCAGAACTCCGCGCCCTTGTCCATGACCTTAGCAGCGAGAGGATGGGCTTTGAGACGGTGTCGCCGAGCCTGAAGTCTGCCTTCAGCACCTTCGTCTCCTCGTTCTCGTTGTCGACCGCCATCGGCACGGTGGCGATCATCTCCATCTTGATGGGCTTCCGCTGCGCATCCAGCAACTTAGGCCCGCAGTCGGCTGTCTTCACGCAGCCCTCGCCGAACGACGTGGGCCCCACGTGGCAGTCGCTCGCAGTGTCCAGGGTGATGAACGTGGTGCCCTCGTCCTCGTCCATCGCACAGCAGCCCTGTGCGCCGTCTTCCAACCGCAGCGCCATTCAGTAGAGCTGGTCGTCATCGCAGAGCGCGCACTCGTCCTTATCCTCCAGGTCGCACTCGATCTTGGCCACGGTCTTTGGAGGGGCGTCGGCTTTCTGCTCGATCGCCGCGTTCCCCTTGGCCTTCTCGTCCGCCATCTTCTTCCTGCAGTCGATCTTCCTCCGGCCCGTCTTGTGGCAATAGTCGCACTTGCCCGTGAACGTGCCCTTTCCCTTGTCCTTGCCCGCGTCTTTTCCACGGCCCTTGCCCTTGCCACTGCGCTCCCGCCAGTAGCAATCCTTCGCCGAGTGGTTCGGCTTGTGGCAGATCTGGCATCCATCCTTGCCTTTGCCACCCTTGCCCTTGCTGATCGCGTCGACGTCCATGGCGTTCGGGTCCCGCGACTGGCCTCCGCTGGGTGGCCTCGCGATCACTCCGCTCTGCCCGATGACCGCCTCGAAGATGCGCGCTCTCATCTGCACGATGTCGCTGCGCACCTCTCGTTGGGCCGACCGCAGCATCGTCTTGATCTCCTCTGGCGCGTGCGCCATGATGGTGCTCGTCTACATGTTCTGCGTGACGTGCTCTCCCGTCGCGCGCTCGTACCTCGAGACCATGTCGCCCCATGCGATGAGCACCTCCGTGAAGCGCTCCGTGCCCTCACGCTCCTTCCACCAGAGCGGCGTGAGGATTTGCTGCAGCATCAGCCCGTGCTCCTCGTTGAGCCTCGGCCTGTACTCGAGGTAGATCCTCCGCATCGCCTCGAAGCCCTGGCCACGCTCGCACAACTTCACGATGCTCTGCGCCGTGCCCTTGGTCGTGCTCGCCAGCAAGTGGCAGAGGCCCCTGCTGACCGCCCTGCCCTGCTCGCCGAGCTCATCCTGCTCGATCGGGCCCTGCGCGCCCCTGGACCTGTCCAGCCCTTCCGTCCAGCCGAGCAGCCCACAGTAGCTCTCGAACGGGAAGATCCAATCCTCGAAGTCCTCCCTCTTGCCGCTGAAGGTCAGCACCTTACTACCTCCTCTCACGTCCAGCAACTGTGGCTCGGCCATCTCGTCGCTGTGTCGCCTCGGCCCTCTCGGCCGTCAGCGCTGGCGCTGGTGCCGCCCGCCGCGGCTCCGCGCCTGCAGCTCTATCCCAGAGCTGTCACCACGCAGATATGATGAAGAGGGGGGGAGATACCCCTTTCTCGTTCTCTCGAGCCAGGACGGCTGCGGAGCGGATCGCTCGCACAGCCTCGGTTTCTCCTGGGCCCGCGGGGAGGGGCCGTGCACTCACTCTCCCCTGCATTATTGTGTATGTATGTATATATGTATGTATGTAGGTAGGTAGGTAAGTAGGTAGGTAGGCAGGTAGGTAGGTAGGTCGGTAGGTAGGTATATGAGTGTGCAATTATGTATGTATGTATGTATGTATGCATGCATGCATGCATGCATGTATGTACGTACGTATGTATGTATGTATGTATGTATGTATGTTGTATGTATGTTGTATGTATGTTGTATGTATGTATGCATGCATGCATGCATGCATGTATGTATGTATGTATGTATGTATGTGTGTATGTGTGTATATATGAAAGAGCGTGTTCTACCGCTGCTGGCGGGAAACCGGGGGGGGGCACTACCGGTTCGAACCCCCACCCCCCCAGTTCATCATGAAAAGGGGGGGGCTCACTACCGGTTCGAACCCCCCGCCCCCCCTCGAACTCGAAAACCGGGGGGGGTCACTACCGGTTCGAACCCCCCCCCCTCGAACACCAAGGGAGGGTGCGGACAGTGGTGGGGACGGTGGTGGTGGGGACAGTGGTGAGGGGACAACGGGACAGTGGTGGGGACAGTGGGACAGTGGTGGGGACGGTAGTGGTGGGGACAATGGTGAGGACAATGGTGGGAACAGTGGGGACAGTAGGACAGTGGTGGGGACGGTGGTGGTGGGGACAGTGGTGTGGGGACAGTGGGAATGTGGTGGAAACAATAGGACAGTGGAGGGTACAGTGGTGGTGGGGACAGTGGTGAAGGCGGTGGCGAGGACGGCGGTGGGACAACGGGACAGAGGTACAGTGGGAACAGTGATGGGGACAGTGGGGACAGTGGTGGGAACAGTGGGACAGCTCAGTGCTTGGATGGCCGACAGAGTTGTTGTAGCTTGTAGTACATATAGTTAACATCATACATACTACTATGTCACATAACATGTAGCTAACAGAGACTTAACTACACACATATATACACTTATTAGCCAACTTAATAAGTCGAATAAGTCTAGGTGTTTGTTCGGATGTTTGTTTTTTTAAGGGCGCCAGTTTTTTTTGGTTGGTGTCGTCTGCTGGTTGGACCTGCGGTTTGCCTGCGTTGTGCGTGTTTTCTGGGCGCGCTTGCTTGATGATCGTTGAGCGTTTGTCAGGTTACGCCAAAAAAACTCCTCCTCCATATGTTCCTGCTCCTCCTCCTCCTCCTCCTCCCTCTTCGGCGGATTACCGCCTTCTTGATCCTCCTCCTCATCCTTCTTCGGCGGATTACCGCCTTCCTCCTCATCATCCCTCTTCGGCGGATTACCGCCTTCTCGATCCTCCTCATCCCTCTTACCGCCTTCTCGATCCTCCTCCTCGTCCCTCTTCGGCGGGTTACCGCCTCCTCCTCCTCCTCCTCCTCCTCCCTCTTCGGCGGATTACCGCCTTCTTGATCCTCCTCCTCATCCCTCTTCGGCGGATCACCGCCTTCCTTATCTTTGCATGCTGCGGCGGATCAACCGCTTTCTTTCCTCCTGATCCGCATGCTCTCATTCTGCGGATCAGCCGCATTTCCCCTCCCCACCCCTTCCGCGGATCAACCGCGCGCCCCCCATCCTTCGATCTTGCGGATCAGCCGCGTTCTCGGGCGGCTCTACGCCATCTTCTGTCGGCGGGTCACTCGCCTCCTCCCTCTTCCCCCCCCATCCGCAGCCTTTTCCGCCTTTCATCGCAGCCTTTTATCGCAGCCCCTTTTGGCTCGGGCTGCCGCGGGGCGGCGGCGCGTCTCCTGCACGAGAATGGCGCTCCAGCAGGAGCTCCTTCAGCGCGCCGAGGGGGTGGGCCCCTTACTGCGCGCTGCGAGGGACCAGGGCGAAGCCGCGTGGAAGCAGGCGTCGGGTGCACAGGCTGCTCGGCTGGTCGAGCTCGTCGGATTGGTGCGCCCGCAGGGCCAGTTGCTCATTCGTCTCGCGGGTTTGGCGCAGCAAGACGGCTTCGCGCCTGCCGACGCACAGCTGTTGCAGAACGCCTTGGCCACGGCAGCCTCGAGCAGCGGCGGGGCGTGGAAGTCGCAGGACTTCGAGCATTTCCCGTATTTCTTGAGTGGTGAAGTGTGGGCCGTGCTCAGCGACCCCCATGGGGACGTCTTGCACAAGGCTCGGTCTGTTCTGTCGTTTCTCTCGTCGAAGCTGGGCCTCAAGAACCCGTCAGAAGGCACCCTCGCGCACGTGACGGCCCTCGTGACGATCTGCGTAGATGGGGCCCCAGCGGCCCGCAGCATGAGCCCCCACTTCTTGAAAGACACCTTTGACCACATCAAGACGATGTGGAAGGGCATGGTCAAGGCAGAGCCCTTGGAGAAGATGGCCGCGCTCCCAGCTGACCCCGACGCGTTCCGAGCTGCGTTCCCCGCCACGTGGGCCTCTGCGTACGGCGGCGGTGGTCCTGCGAGCATCGGAGTGTCTTTCGTCGATGTCTCCGTGGTGGCTAAATCGTTCAAGTGGCGCGAGAGGCAGCGCGCAGGGTCCGCGTCGTCGGCGCCACTTTTGCAGGCTCTGCAGAATATGATGGGTCAGACGCTGCAGCAGCCTCAGCAAGAGAGGCTCGCGAACGGTGCGGTGTTGACGTTCGCAGGGAAGCAGCCGCGCAGCCTCGCTGGCGTGCAAGCGGCTGCGACGTCGGCCGCAGGGCAGCTCGCGGTAACGGACCTCCCGCAGCAACAGCAGCAGCAGCAGTTGCAGCAGCAGCAGCAAGACAACTACAACCTGCAATTGCAGGTCAAGCAGCTCCAGGAACAGCTGCAACAGCAGCAGCAGCAGCAGCAGCATCAGCCGCCGCAGCCTCAGCCCAGTCAGTTCGCCCTCGAGGACGCCCACTCGGCGGGTGCCTCTGCAGGAGGGGCCCCGCAGGCGAAGAAAGCGAAGAAGGTGGACTCTGTGGAAGCAGCGGCCATGCAGGTACACGCTGCCATGCAGCGGGAGAAGGAGACCAAGGCCAAAGCGAAGGCCAAGGCGAAGCCCGCTGCCAAGACATGCGTGCTGAAGAAACCAGCGTCGGCACCTGTTGGCAAGGCGGCGGTGGTGACCAAAATCAGCGTGGAGAACACGCGCAGCCAGTGCGTCGCGCACTACGGGAGGGGCCCTGGCTCGACCAAGGTGTTCAAATGGGGCCCGAACACAGGCTACACGAAGGAGACGTCCAAGAAGGCCGCCAAGCAGTGGATCGAGAATCGGCTGCGCGTCGGCTGAGGGGGTGACGGCTACGCGTAGCTGTCGGCACGACGCGTGCCATATTCAGTGCAGCCATGCCGACGGATGGCCGTCAGTATGAGCACTTTGCCATGACGTGGGTAGTGCTACGGATGGCATCGGCTTTTGGTTTCTTCGCCTGGCGCGCGTTGCGCTCGTGATGAAGCTCGTTCTTCTGTGAACTCGTTGCACCTCTATGCGCGCCACTGCTTTGAAAGAAAAGGCGTTGAAAAAAGTGCGGGTCAACCGCTTTCAGCGGATCATCCGCTACTTACCACGTTGTGCCAGGTCGGGGCAGGGAGGTCTGAGCAGGAATATGGAGGGATGGCATGACTAGGAAGGGATGAGACCGAGCAGAAGTTTGCCAGTGAAAAGGGAACCGCCGCTCTGGTCCAGAACCGCCCCCGCTCTGAATCGAAGCCACAGGGGCAGAACGGTGGCGGTTCTAGGCCAGAACGGTAGCGGTTCTGGACCAGAACGGGCAAAAATGGAGGTTCATGCGCGTTCGATGCCGTAGCCGTTTGCGCTCGCAGGGGCGCGC